TCCTGTTATTCCTTTCAGTTTTTGTGCGCTATTACGCCAGGTCCACTTGTAAGGCTTTTGAAAAGTTGTATATTTACATTGCATTCTTTTTTTTATAGTGCATCTAGGGCCTTTTCGTAGTGATCCAATAGTTGAGCAGAAGGAGCGACCCCGTTTAAACCCTTTTGCCCTGGGTTGTTAATGTGGGGTTTTTGTGGGTGGTGACTTGCTTCTTAGGGCCCTTCAAAGATTTTTTTTGTTTGGGATGTTTTTGCTTCGGTTTAGTTCTTTGTGTTGCTTTACTCCCCCTTTTTGGATGGGGGTTTTGAGTGTTTTTTTAGTAAAATGTGGGACGACCCCCGTGCCATGCCCCTCTCCTAGGAGGAAAAAGGTCGTGAAAGGGGTTCTTGCAGATTTGATTTTGCCCCGAAGTGGCTAGTTTATTGTGCACCCCATTTTCCATCCTTTGGGGCGGTAGCGCGAGAGCATATGGTACAAAAAGGCCCAGGAACTGGCCCCAAAAGGGTTAACAGGGAAAACATATGGATTTTTTACTACTATCTATAGTTCATTTTCTTTACAAGCAATTTAGGAAATTTGTTAGTATATCTGGTTTCTTATTTTCATTAATAAGATATCTTTACATGTACATAGGTTATTATACTGTCTGTCTCTGTATTCCCCAATAAGTGGGCAATTAAGCACATAGTGTTCAAGAGAGTGACCTATGCCTGATCACTAATTTCATTTTGTTTGATCTCATTTTTGTGTCCCCAAAATGCCGAAGTACTTATAACCCAAGCCTAAGCCTGGCCACTACAACATATCAGTTGTTTTACATTGCAAGTTGCTCCCAAAAACAAAACTTATATCGTTCCTGTTTCATAGGGGGGTTTTGATCTACTCAGGGGTTCTAAAATGCATTCCCATAAAAATCATTTTTATTTTTACTTTTCTCCTAAAATATTTCTAATGCTGACACATTTTCCAAAGTTATATTCTCATTCTCCCTTTTGGATTCTTCTTTGGGTAATATCAATTTATCAGAAAGGGTAATCCAAGTGTGATGGGATCCCTAGCAAATTTTACATTAATTCTTTTTCCCCCAATTTTTGGTATTATACCTGGTTCCCCATGAGCGTTGTTGGGGGTCATTATATGAGCCCAAAAGCCTTCAATATGCATAGAATCAGTAAAGATGATAGAGTCAAGCTCTTTCATAGGGTTTGCTTTAGGGCCTTAGGGGTTGCAACAATTCAGTTTGCAGTGTAGACGCCAGTTGTTAAAACTTTTGCCTAACTCAACAAATTTTTTTATCGTTCTTAACTAGGGAGGTGGGAACAAGAGCAGATGCAGCCCGCCAGAAGATCCTGTTTAGATCCCTCAGGTATTAACTTGTGATAACTTGTTACTCCAGCTAGGTGAGAAATTTTTTCTTGAGCATTTCTTAACAAAAGATTTAAGGAAGGGGGTTTTTAGCAATGAGTTTTGGGGGGGACTTGTAGGAGTGATATTAAATGAACACATCTTCCATGGAGGGGTGAAAAACTCTTGTTGCCCACAGTGTCAGTTCAGCAGGTTAAAAACTTAATGCAATTGCACGTTTTCACGTCCCTTTGATTGTTGCATTTACTCTAACATTTGGGAAGATTTACTGTGAAGTGTCTGGTTCGTTTCTCAACATTCTAATACCCAGTCGTGTTAATTTCAACAATTATCACTGATTAGAAATACCAAGCTCCTTCCTCATGTTAAGAACTTTTGTAGATCTGGGACAGCCAAGAATAATCCTGAGAGCTTCATTTTGCATTAACTCCAAGGGTCGGAGAGAACTTTTCTAGCTAATATCAACATGGGAGCAGCATAATCAATTAAGGACCTAACATAGGCTCTGTACATCATTCTCACGATTCTCACATTAGCACCATAGTTGGGATTGTAGCCAGCAACAGCTTTGAGAGCATTTAGCCTAGCTTTACATTTCTTGTTTAGTTTTGGCTTCTTGCAGTTCTTTGGCTGTATAGTCCTTGTGGCTTAGCGCTTCTTTTTGATTATAATAATAATAATAATTCTTGCAGTTCTTGATGAACACGGAGTTCCATGAGTCTGGCCCTGGGGCAGATTGCATGGGCATGTCATTTATCGCCTGTTCGAAGTCATTTGGCGTCAGGATAACATCGGATAGGCTTGTGTTAACCAAATTCTGTGGCTCTCTCATAAAAAATTCATTTTGATCTTCGACTCTCAGTCTGGTTAGCGGCTTGCTAAAAACTGAGTCATATTGGGACTTGAGTAGCTCACTCATTTCCTTGCTGTCATCTGTGTAGGACCTATCTTGTTTAAGTAGGGGCCCAATACTGGACGTTGTTCTCGACTTTGATTTGGCATAGGAGAAGAAATACTTTGGGTTTCTTTCGATTTCATTTATGGCTTTCAGTTCTTCCCGCGATTCCTGACTCCTATAAGATTCCTTTAGCTTAAGTTCGATGCTTGCTATTTCTCTGACCAGTGTCTCCCTACGCATTTCAGATATATTGATCTCTTTTAGCCGCTCTGTTATTCTTTTCCGTCGCCTGTAAAGGGAGCGCCTGTCTCTTTCTATTTTACATCTACTCCTCCTTTTTCTTAGATTAATAAGCCTTGTGCATACATCGAGTGCCACCAAGTTAACCTGTTCTAGGCACAAGTTGGGGTCTGTGTTGCTTAGTATATCTTCCCAGCTTATATCGGTTAGGACTTGGTTTACTTGGTCCCACTTTATGTTTTTGTTATTGAAGTTGAATTTGGTGAATGCTCCCTCGTGACTAATCTCATTATGTCGGTCTGGGGCTCCACGCATACATGTCTGAACGTCAATTATGTTGTGATCAGAGTATATTGTTTTTGATATGGTGACATTTCTTATCAGATCATCATTGTTAGTAAAGATGAGGTCTAGTGTATTCTCCAGTCTAGTAGGCTCTATTATTTGCTGGTTTAAATTGAATTTTGTGCAGAGATTTAAAAGCTCGTGTGAGTGTGAGTTTTCATCAGCGCTACCTCCTGGTGTTATTACTGCAACAATATTATTTGCTATATTCCTCCATTTTAGGTGCCTTAAGTTGAAATCCCCCAGGAGCAAGATGTTGGGTGCAGGAGCTGGAAGATTTTCCAGACAGTGGTCAATTTTTAACAGCTGTTCCTGGAATTGCTGGGATGTTGCATCCGGAGGCTTGTAGACTACCACAATGACTAGGTTTTGGTTCTCGATCTTTACTGCTAAAACTTCCCCTACATCATTTGAGGCATTAAGCAGTTCTGTGCAAACAAGTGACTCTGCAATGTACAGGCCAACCCCCCCTTTTGCCTGTTCACTCTGTCACATCTGTATAGGTTGTAACCTGGGATCCATATTTCGTTGTCCAAGTGATCCTTTATGTGGGTCTCAGTGAAAGCCGCGAACATTGCCTTTGCCTCTGCAAGCAGACCACGGATGAAAGGTATTTTGTTGTTTGTTGCTGGCTTTAGACCCTGTATATTTGCAAAGAAGAATGTCATCGGACTGGTGGTATTGTTGGTACTGGAGGGGGGATTTTTTTTTCCGGCATTAGTATCTGTATCTGTTGGTTTGGAGTGGAGGCCATCGACTGTGGTTCCACTCCAGGAATGACTGGATTTGGTGTACGATTTCTACCATTTCCTGCCAGTTTTTTTCCCTTCCTGGCACTAAAAAACCTCTCCCTCTTGAGTGGCTGTGGCTACCTAGGTTTTCCCATGGCCTGGATGTTTTGTATCTTTTTGTCCCCTTTAGATGGTGTGTCTGGCAATTTAAGTTATAGCACAGTCTTTCCTGTACTGAAGAGGTACACATTTCAGGGTGAAAAAGCTTACAGGAAGGGAGTTTGCATTTTCCTGTTGTCATATGGGCACGGCATTTTCTAGGGTGGTCATAGTTGCACGTCCCGTCTGTTTTTCCAGATTTCCCATGTCTGCAGATACCAAGTGCATAGTATGTGCACAGGCTTGGTTTCCGTTTGCCTTGGGTTTCTGTGACTGTATTCCCTGTTGGTGCATGTTTCCCTGTCTTATTCCTATCCTCCCTAGCACCAACAATGGAGCTCCCACCAGTTGTTTTTGGTAATATATCCTCACCATTGCTAGTGGAGTCCTCTTGTTTGCTATTTCCTGTGGTATTTCTAGTTTGCAATATTGGTTTTATCTTATCTTTGACTGCACTTGTTTCCCCATTACAGCTCCTCTCCCCTATGAGGTCATTTATATGTATTCCTTCCTGCGTATAATTCCCGACTACCTGGACAAAATCTCCAGCTTTACCATTACTGTCTCCCAGGACAGCACCTCCAGCTTCACCATTACTGTCTTCCAGGACAGCACCTCCAGCTTCACCATTACTGTCTCCCAGGACAGCACCTCCAGCTTCACCATTACTGTCTCCCAGGACAGCACCTCCAGCTTCACCATTACTGTCTCCCAGGACAGCACCTCCAGCTTCACCATTACTGTCTCCCAGGACATCACCTCCAGCCTTACAGTTTCTGACTACATGGCCAGTAATTTTGTAATATTTTAAACTTAAGATTTAATTTAAGTCTGCCCGAAATGCCTAGCCATGCTAGGTGTTCTAGTGGTACACTCTGTAATTATTATTTTACTACATGTAAATCACACAATAACCAAATTCTGTAAAATCAGCATTGTAATCCTTATAGAGAATAAACTTTGAACACTACTGGAGGTTAACACTACTGGAGGTTAACACTACTGGAGGTTAACATTACTGAAGGTTAACACTACTGGAGGTTAACATTACTGGAGGTTAACATTACTGAAGGTTAACACTAATGGAGGTTAACATTACTGTAGGTTAACATTACTGAAGGTTAATATTACTGAAAGTTAACACTACCGGAGGTTAACACTACTGGAAGTTAACACTACTGGAGGTTAATACTACTGGAAATTAACATTACTGGAAATTGGAAATTAACATTACTGGAAATTAACATTACTGAAAATTAACATTACTGGAAATTGGAAATTAACATTACTGGAAAACACCATGACTGGATGTTAATAGGAGGAGAGTGTTAGAGTGAGGGTGGCGGTGTTAACAACAGTGTTGGTACAGTGGAACACCAGCTGGACGCTTGTGTGGGTGTGTTCTCTCTTGTTTGTTAAACTTTATTATTATATAATTGTTGACGCAGAATTGTGTTAAGGTTACATAGATGGTCGTGGTCAGAGTTTACCTATAACACTTGTGTTTTTATTGCAATTTATTGTGTAAATTTCTAATGTAGTTTAGGTGAGTGCCAGTGAAGAGCTCTTGAAGTAGCGATTGATCTCCCATGCCTTGGATCAAATGTCTCCCATTTCCCTGGCGTTGTATGACGCATAAACGTTTAGCGCTCTCCCTCATTCCACTAAATGTCATCTGATGTTATGTTCCCTTATTAAACCATATTTTAATTTACACTGCCATTAGTAATTCGCTTACTGTTACTTTTATCTTCATGTGATGACTGTTTTGGCCATATTTTCAGCATTATTAGACACACTAGCTCACAACTGAAAGGACCTGGGTTAAATCCTGGGCGGGGGTTGGACATATGTACAGGTCTTGCACCTGTTTTCTCAAGGAAGGTTCCTTGATGCTGGTGAGGAGACTCTTGATCCAAGGCATTGGATATGCCCTCCCCTTCTTTGGATCGAACATGAATGCTTCCTATTCCAAGGTGTTGTTTGATTTCTATGGATTTAGTGCTCTCTCATGAACATAAAAATGATCTTTGTCCTTGTTGCTGCTGTTCTGTATAACCTCTAAGGGTTTAGCTCTTTTACGTGAATAAAACATGTTGCCCCTGTTATCTAGGAGTTAGTAGATTCTTGTAAGTTACATCTTTAAAATGACCAAAATGAAAATAAGCTTTAGTTCTTTGTGTTCTGTTATCCTGAGATTTTCAACATTTTTAATCTCCCAGGGTTTCTAGGATGAAGAACTTTTTTTTAATAACCCAGAGGATTAGTAAACCCAGGATAAAGCAAACCATACCACGGGCAGGGATTGAACTCATGGCAAAAGAGTCGTAAAGCTCCAGGCTAACGCTTTATGCTGCCAATGCTTTTATGACTCGCTCACCACTAGTTCAATCCCTGTGTGGTATGGTTAGTTTGCAATCCTGTCATTATGATTTTGTAAGTCAGGATAAGGCAACAAAGTTCTTGAGTCATCAGAAACTGTCAGTCTTATTTCCATTTGTGTTGTTCAATCCTCTCTCCAGTTATGCGACCCACAACAGTCTACTAATGCCCAAATACCTACTTTCTGCTAGGTGAAAAGGGGAAAAGAAACATACTCAGTGCTTCACCCATGCCAAGGAGCAATTTGTGGCCCCTCACTGTGTGAGTTCAGGATACCATTAACTGAGCCATGCATTATGCATATCTATCATTCCATGCATATACTATCTATTCCCTCTAAGGAAGTGCTTTAATGCTGGTGAGCGGCTCATGTCACAAGAAGTTTTAATTGTCCTACCCCTCAATAGATTGAACTTGATTCCCTCCCATTTTACCAAGTGTTGTACGACCTCTGCAGGTATAGCTTTACCCCTAAATATTATAATAATTATATTTTTTATACATTTCTTATTTTTTCTATTTGACTTTATTTTTGTTTTATTTTACTGTTTTACTTTTTTAACTCAACATAATGTACTTGCTGTAGGCCTAAAATCTATTTACACATTAGCATTTTTTCCTAGGATATTCCTTCCAGCATGTTTGGACTTTTTAAGGAAACAATATATAAATACAACAGATGTGCAGTATGTTAGGAGTGTGTTCATAATGTGTATTTTTTTATGTAGTAATGGTGCTTCTCATCAGTTGATATGCAATAAATGTTCCTTAACCTTGTTATCACTTACATACTGTAGTACTGACCTAGAATGTCTTTTTTTGCAACAGTCAAACACTTGTACTATACTACTTACGGTATTAAAGAAAAAAAGTTTATTTTTCTTCATGTAGGTGACCAAAATGTCAGAATAATTCTAGGAAATGAAACATAGTAATTTTCGTTTTCTGAATTTTGATTAAATTACAGTAGAGAAATACTGGATAAATAATTCGTACAAAGAGTTCTGTTACATTTATGAAACTGGACTAAAACAAGAGGAAGATGAAACCAGATCATTTATTCAAGTTTGTAATGAATAAATTAGATTTTATAGGCAAAATACAAAGTATTAAGGGTGACAACAAAATAACTTTGTCTGCCTTTTTTTTTTTTTGTTTGTTTTTTGTTATCCTAGGTAATTTACACACGTTACTATGCAGGGTAAGCACTGTGAAGAAATAGTAGAATTACAAGTGCTTTCGTGATTTCTCACATTATCAAGGACCTGTAAAAATAAAGGATCAACAGGAAGGCATACGTGTATGCCCTGAGTTTCGGCCATAATTCGTTCCAGAAGGCTGTTCAAGTGCCGTTACTGAACGAATTTGTTCCCATGAAGAGTAATGTAAATTAGATTCGTCTGTTGCAGACCCCCAAAAATACACTTACAAAATCACTTACAATAATACACTTGCATAATTGTTCGAGTTGGGAGCTGTACGAAACTCGGGCTACCACTGTATATTCTACCCAGGCATTAAGAATCTAACTCATCCAATGTATCTCAAATTCATCCTAAATTTTATTAATTATAAATGAATCCAATTTGTATAACCCAAAAGCAATATTCATATTATTTTCAAAAGTATTTTTTATGAAACTTGATTCTATTATATTCCTGTCGACCATGAACTTGCTAGATACAACTTTCTCAGTGTTTTGGAAATCAATTGGATGGTTAAAATGTCGCATGAATAAACAGAGCATTAGAATCTTGTCCATTTCTAATGCTATACAGTGGACCCCCGCATAACGATATTAATCCGTTCATGAGAGCTCATTGTTATGCGAAATTATCGTTATGCGGATGAATTTTCCCTATAAGAAATAATGGAAATCAAATTAATCCGTGCAAAAAAAAACATTTTTACCACATGAAATATTAATTTTAATACACACAAACTGAAAAAGGCATGCACAATTACATGACACTTACCTTTATTGAAGATCTGGTGATGATTGATGGGATGGGAGGAGGAGAGTCTTAATGTTTAGAAGGGGAATCCCCTTCCATTAAGACTTGAGGTGTCAAGTCCTTTTCTGGGGTTACTTCCCTTCTTCTTTTAATGCCACTAGGACCAGCTTCAGAGTCACTGGACTTCTGTCGCACAACATATCTGTCCATAGTGGCCTGTACCTCTCGTTCCTTTATGACTTCCCTAAAGTGTTTCACAACATTGTCAGTGTAATAGTCACCAGCACGGCTTGCAATAGCTGCTTGAGGGTGATTTTCATCCATAAAGGTTTGCACTTTCAGCCACATTGCACAGATTTCCTTAATCTTTGTAGTAGGCAACTTCTTCAATTTCTCTCTCCCCTCCTCCGAACCAGTTTCCTCAGGTCTGGCCTCTTGCTGTTGAAATTGATCTGTCAGCTCATCAGTGGTTAGTTCTTCATTGTCCTCCTCCACCAACTCTTCCACATCATCCCCACTAACCTCCAACCCCAAGGACTTCCCCAATGCCACAATTGATTCCTCAATTGGCATACTCCTCTCAGGGTTAGCCTCAAATCCTTCAAAATCCCTTTTGTCTACACATTCTGTCCACAGTTTCTTCCAAGCAGAGTTCAAGGTCCTCTTAGTCACTCCCTCCCAAGCCTTACCTATAAGGTTTACACAATTGAGGATATTAAAGTGATCTCTCCAAAACTCTCTTAGAGCCAGTTGAGTTTCTGAGGTCACTACAAAGCACCTTTCAAACAGAGCTTTTGTGTACAGTTTTTTGAAGTTTGCAATAACCTGCTGGTCCATGGGCTGCAGGAGAGGAGTGGTATTAGGAGGCAAAAACTTCACCTTAATGAACTTCATGTCTCCATAAAGTCGCTCTGCCACGTCTGTAGGATGACCAGGGGCATTGTCTAACACCAGGAGGCACTTAAGGTCTAATTTTTTTTCAGTTAGGTAATCTTTCACATTGGGGGCAAATGCATGGTGTAACCAGTCATAGAAAAAGTCCCTAGTGACCCATGCCTTACTGTTTGCCCTCCACAGCACACACAAATTAGCCTTGAGGATATTCTTTTGCCTGAACGCTTTGGGAGTTTCTGAGTGATACACTAATAAAGGCTTCACTTTGCAATCACCACTAGCATTGGAACACATCAACAGAGTAAGCCTGTCTTTCATAGGCTTATGTCCTGGGAGTGCCTTTTTCTCCTGAGTAATGTAGGTCCTGCTTGGCATTTTCTTCCAAAACAGGCCTGTTTCATCACAATTAAACACTTGTTCAGGTTTCAGTCCTTCACTGTCTATGTACTCCTTGAATTCCTGCACATATTTTTCAGCTGCTTTGTGGTCCGAACTGGCAGCCTCACCATGCCTTATCACACTATGTATGCCACTACGCTTCTTAAATCTCTCAAACCAACCTTTGCTGGCCTTAAATTCACTCACATCATCACTAGTTGCAGGCATTTTTTTAATTAAATCCTGATGCAACTTCCTAGCCTTTTCACTTATGATCACTTGAGAGATGCTATCTCCTGCTATCTGTTTTTCATTTATCCACACCAATAAGAGTCTCAACATCTTCCATCACTTGCGATCTCTGTTTCAAAAACACAGTTGAACCTTTGGCAAGAACAGCTTCCTTGATTGCCTTCTTGTTGCCCACAATAGTAGCGATGGTTGACTGGGGTTTATTATACAACCTGGCCAGCTCGGAGACACGCACTCCACTTTCATACTTATCAATGATCTCTTTCTTCATCTCTATAGTAATTCTCACCCTTATTCCTGTAGGGTTGGCACTAGAAGCTTTCTTGGGGCCCATGGTCACTTATTTTGCAGATAAAATCACCAAAAACACTGTAATAATACGAAATGTTCCGATTGTATGCTTGGATGTTACCGCGGGGGCTGGCTGGTAAACAATGCCACCGGCGGAACATGTGAGGCTGGCTAAGGCCGCGCATTAGACGCGTCTCGGACGAACATCGTTGAGTGGGTTTTTTAGCGGTATGCGAGGCAAAAT